GACTAAGGAACCATATTTCCTCCACATTTGTTTGCCTTAATGAAAAACCTTGAGTGCTGGAGATGAGAGTCACCGTCCCACTGAAAAATGATTTAGAAATTACTGGTAAACAATATTATATAATACTTTTATGTCAAAACACGTGTCAAAACAGTCGAAAATAAATAAATAAAACGACGTAATAACAGTAATACAAATCATTTCGAAAACAGCTCAATCAACATGAACAAAAAAACATGAATATAAGAAAACATACTACTAAAAAACAATAGTAGCAGTACTCCACGGGTAGTAAGGATCAAGAGTACAATCCACAGAAACACCATTCAACAGAGTAGAAATCGTGAGGACGATCCATGGAAAAGTAAAATTATGCAGTCTTGACTAGTTCCAAGTTTAAAAATACGCGAAGACAATTGGACACTTTGTTTCGACACTCGCATGATGAAACCAATAGCTTTTTGCAATTGAAATGCTTATAACGAAATTTGAAACTGCTAGCCAGGCATCATATAATACATAAGCAATTGAAAAGAAAAAGGGAACTGCCATTATCCACTTGAAACAAAATCCTTTAAAAACAATATTTCCTTGAAATATATGAAAACATGAAAGTGGTGTGCATGTTGATGGCGAAAAGGCATGCTTCAAGCATAAGAATAAACAAACAAAAAACAATAAGTTGTGCCCATCCAGGGAGAATAACTGATAACCAAAAACAATGGGTAGAAATATTAAGCGTCAACGAGTATACGGAATAGGATATGAAATCATTGAATGGTACTCATATACACATATAAAATCCGACGTTACCATTACTACAAAAAGTAGAATACAAAAAAACACCGCATATTGCGCCGAATTTAATGTTTCGGCCGATCAAAGACAATGAAATGGACCATCGTGTACCGAACCAGTAAACACAAGCAACAAACTACATTTGGAAATAGTCATTTTCAAAAACATTTTCAATAATCCCCCGCAAATTGTCACGACAGAATTCGCAGGTAAACTCGAAGAAAAAAATGAAGGATGAGGCTGACAGAAAGGGTACTTCTCTCCCGTACCCCCTCCCTCAAACTATCTAACAAGTTTGTCCAACAAAGTTTGCAAATATTTTGAGCTCGATCGATATATAGGATCTAAACGTTATGCTATAACCTTCGAAAATCTATAAACGTAGCGCACATTACGAATTTCGGCACCAAAAACTGAACGAATCCCCCACCAATCCTAATTCAAATTAGAAAGATAATACAACTGAACATAAGGAACGCCTAATATGAAATTCAAAAAGCAATAAAAAGCAGTACCCGTTAAAACAACAATGAATACTTTCTTGAGCTCATTTTCTTGCTTCTAGAAACGATGACGTAACGTCATGTTGTCTCAGAAAGCTACCCTTCGGTAGAATTAAGGGAGGAAAAATCTATGAAGAATCTCTAAAGTTTACGCAACCGCCTGTACCGAACCGGCCGGTGTTGCTGGAGTGCTTCTGGAAACAGCTTGGATGGATGTTACAGCAGCTTTCACATCACCATTCACCAAAGGTTTAAGAGAATTGGGAGTCGAAGTACTAGTAATATTAGCCTTGCTGCTTGGTAAGTAATTCAAAAGACCATTTTCCAGTTTCTGCTTTTTTGCTGCTTGCGGCGATATTTCATCCTTTATTTGCCTCAAACAGTCTCCATGATCATCCGCATTTTCCATTAACACTAAAAAAAGCACCAAGTTACTTTTTCCAAGGATTTACCAATATTGACTTCCTGATCAAGGCAGCTAAGTAAAACAGGCCATAATCACACACATGTTTTCAAGCAAGTTCAGAAATTAATATTAGGCAATGATCGACAATATTACCTACTCTCTTCGTAATCCAAATCACTAGCAATTTAAGGAGCTGATGGTTTAAAAGAAACGGCAGGAGGAGGTGTTCGTGAGTATTATCACTTGAGAAAAATTATATTCAACAAAAAACAGATCAAAATTCCAGAACTACATATTACATTTCGATTCAGTTTAGGAAATTCGTATCACAAAAATCCAGAAAAAAAAAGTAAAAAGTGAAAAAATACCTTTCGGAAGACCATTGTGTTCAATATGACGTTTCATGGAGTTATTTTCAGGGAAATCTCGTGATTCTAGCTCATTTTTCAAAAATTTCACATCACCATTCGTCCTTACACTTAATTTACTCTCTTTTCGTTGACAGCCCTCTTCATCTGATTCGTCACCCTTCTCAGTGCTTTCCCTTTCTTTATCCGAAAAGTACTGCATTGCATACAGGACATTCGTGATGGTCTGTCCCACTCGCGAATCCATCTGCAATAGTAATTCAAATTTTGGCGAACTTACTAAAAATTAGGCCAAAGTGTCATCCCGGCAAGGCAAAAAATCCAAATATGATTAGTGTAGTTGAATACATTTGAAACAAAATAATCGTTTAAAAATAGCAGGAAAATTACGACTAATAAATGGCAATAAACCGAATAACAAACATACCAGATGTGACATTGTGAATTGCAGTAACCTTTGCTGATGACGAATGAGATGTTGTCTGCAAGCTGGTACTTTACATAGCTGCTGAAGAATAGAAGCTGCTCTCCTCAACATTGGGACTGAGGTACCCATCATTTCCGGATTATCTCGAAGTGCCTGGATTCCGTGTTGTTGGGCTATCTGAAATACCCACTTGCAATGTCAAAATGATGTTGAAATTCGTTTTAATAATGCCAAAAATACGGCGTATTGACTCCTGTAAAAAAAGAAAAAAGGATTGCCTCTTTATCGCTCCTTACCTAGGCTCATAACAAAAATATCTTCGCATTTTCCATTGAAAAAAAAATTCTGACTAACAGCATCCATACTCTCTTTAAAACAACCCCAAAGCAAAATAACCTCACTGCAAACCTGATGCATATTTGCATCGCCCATCTCAAGAAATGCTACCAAATAATGCACAGCTGGGGACTCGGCCGCAACAATATAGCATGTTGGTTCGGAAATAGTGCACAATGCACATAATATAACAATCGCAAACTCCCTGAGTAGAAAATTCAACAAAAATGCGACATAGAAAAAGAAAAAAGAAAAAACAGCATGAATAACAAAATCAAAGCAAGGCAATGGAAAAAGTCTATATTTGTTCATTTTCTAGAACGTTTGCAATCCCTTCTGACCTCATGATTCCCAACAAGTATGATTTGCGAACAGTAAAAGTGTCCTGTGTTTAGTTGAACCATCATTTGAATGCAGTATTTTCCAATCAAAATGAAACTTAAGAAAAGGAAAGCCCACACCACCAACCTGCTTGGTATTTCTTCATTCAAAGCAAGCAATCCGACCAACGTTTTGATAAAACTTTCCAAACGCAACCATGGACCCGTAGAAAGCAGAAGATCAACATTATGTTCAATTACTGATAGCTTGCACAAGGCTTCCAAAGCATAATTCCTTTAAAATCACGTATTGCAAAATAGATGAATATTGGCTTCACCACCAAAGTGATTAGTGCAATCGGGAAAGTTCAGTCTACTAAGTCCGATCTAGTCAGTCAATACACGCAACCAAGTGAAACTGACATGAATAGAGCATTCTGCACATATCAAATTCGTTACATGTAAAATAATTAATACACCGATAATGACTTCACATAAATTCATCACGTGCGAAAAAAAAAAGCACACCTTGGCGACACACCAGCCGAAATCAATGGATCCTTCGCTTCTGCACACTGACTTACACACCAATGGATAAGTGCATCAAATAATGGCCAAGCAACATCTGACTCGAACTCAATCAGATCCAGCTGGAAAATCCAAAGCATGTTGAACAGAAATTTAAGATATACAATTTCAAAATTTTATGTTTAACAAACTTAGAATAACTATCAATCGTTCAAAAGATAACATACCTGAACACTAACATGCACTAGAGTAACAAATGCATCTTCTCGCAACTGACAAGCTGTTTCAAACAGTAATAAAGCATTATCATCATCCGATTCCAGTAAATCTCCAGGCTCCATCAAACGACGGTTTGCTTCCGAAAGCGTGCCAACAGCTAGAACTGTATTAATTTCCTCCTAAAAATAAGACGCTATAGAGTTATAATGGTTTCTCGCATTCAATTACAAAGATTGTCTCAAAGATGTAATTCATTACCACGAATGAAATCATAACAAATCAGCGAAGCTGGAACTGAATCACATTCAAAAATTGATTTAGGAAATCAGAACTCACATTTTTTGACAATTGTTTCACGAGTGACCCTGGCAATTTCAGCGTCCTTTCGTCTGTATAAAGTCGTAACAACCTCCCAATGATGTACAAAAGTCCAGCATGTCTGGCCATTGGCCCCTCATTACCAGGCAGAAAGGACAAGCCACGCAAAACATTCGAAACTGCCAAACAACGCCTTACCTATAAGTGGAAAAGATTACGATGATTAAAATTAGATAAAACGAGGATAATTTCTCAATCACAAGTATACAGTTGCAGTTGAATGATACAAGTGTAGAGTATTAAGCAAAATCTCGTAATTTCAACTTACTAGCTGTAATCGCGACTCATCACGAACACAAAGTGCTGTTGGTCGCATAGTCTTCAGCTCCACTATCTTCTTGTATTCATCTTCATTAAACTTTTCCACATTAGATGGGATGATTCGCATTGACTGCAAACACTAAATTCAACACATAGCAATTACGAAAGTGAATAACAAACAGAATTGAAAGTCACAAATAAAAATGATGATGGAACACGAGGTTTTCGATTTCATAAAAGTGCAGTGACGAAGATTGTAAAGATATTTTTTCAATCAGAAAAAATATCAAATAGCGCTCAACCACCTTATCAGTTTTGCTGCAATACGCCGCTTCATCGACTTCAGCTTCAATCAATTTCGATATTCCATTTACTTCTTTCACGAAAAATCTCGGTTTCTTCAGCTGTTTCCTGAACTCGATATCATTGATCAGCCGAGCTGCAAGATATGAAGATGTCTCGCCTCCCAGTCCACTTAACATTCGCGATTCATGATAATCCAATGAAAGAGTCTCTGTAAATGGAAAAGAATAATCGAGCGTTTTCATTTTGTATACAGGCAATGAATAGAAGTGTTTGGGAAATGACAGCTACAACATTCTACAACACACTCTCTTCCTTAGCATCTCTGCTTATACTCGTTGACAGACCAATTTTACAGGAAACTTGTTAAGACAGTGTAGACGTATGCATTACTGCCTACAACATATAGTCTCATTAAAAATTGAGTTAGATAACTACCATCCGCAATGTCACATGACCATCCATTTGGTCTCCCACGTTTCAAACATTCAGGTAGTTCTTTCTTCTCAATATGCACTGTTCGACCTAAATAGATTTTACAAAGTTATAAATAGCATGGAAACATAAACATAAGCATATCGCTTGCATCCTTTTTTCAGATTCTAGAGATTCTTTTTAAACACAAAAATTCACCACCGAAATGTTTGCTTTGTCTTCATTAATCCACTGAATTTGACCTAAGTATTTAACCTAAATATCATCTATCAAGCTGACCTGTACGTGACACTTTTGTGAAATTGGTCGGCTCATTTTTTAAGTTGCGTGAAGCAACCAATGAAGGTGCTGTTGTACGTTCCATGTTTGATGACTGCATCCAAAACTCATTATATTCATCATCCGCTGTTCGTGCTTTTGATTCTGCACCTACCTGGAAAATCCGTTATTTCTGAGCATATCAGCAAAACCTTTGATGAACTTCACAAAAAAATAAATAGAATGCAACTGACTTTTTAGAGCAGATGACACAACCAGGTTTCCTGAGTAGATTAAAGTGCTCAAAGTTTGTTCAATAATGGGGGGATTTATAATAGCTAATCAGTAAGCTTGATTGCAAGAAAAAAAATCCCAGCCATACTTTTGAAAGCAAAAATAAATACCTCAAACACTTTTGGATAAAGAAGAGATAACAATGCCCTGAAATGCTCGACGAGCACGTTCAGAAGTCCAGGAGTATGGTTCAATATTGTTGGTGGAGCATAGTCATCGTACAGCATGATATTCAATGCATTCAGTGCCCATGTTATTTCCGTTTCTAAACCACTGCGTAAAGCCATCGTTATACGTTTTGTACTCACCTACAAAACATAAAAATATGCAACTGTCGACTAATCAACAACAGAGTATGGTTAAAAGACTTACTCGCATCAAATCTTTCATCATCAGTTTTCGCCTTCTTCGTTGACTAATTGTTGTTGCTTCAACACTGCCTGCCGGAAACTGCATAGGTTGAGGTTGAGTGGACTGGGCAAATGAAGGATGCATAACTGTAGTCACAGCTGCACCCGGACCTGAAGCAGCATTGGGCGTATGTATGCCACTAGGAAGAAAATTCAGAGCTGACGCTGACTGCCCCAACGATCCTGTTGCACCATGTATTCCTGTGAAACCTGCTGATGTCGATGGCCCCATATGCGGGAAGGGGCTCGACGATGCACCAACTACACGACCCCCCTGCAATACAAAGGAAATATCATCCTTTTGATGATACGCGCACACAACGATATACTACAACCATTTCTTATTTTCAAAATAGTGCACGGAGAAAAAGCGTAAACCACCAAAAGTACAATCCGACACTTCACATTTATAAACCTATTTGCAAGGTGGATGACTCATCAAGAACATTACCAAACATTCGAACCGAAAATTTGCATATTTTAAAAGACTCGGTAAAATAAAAAAACAGTACCTGCACCATGGAATGCGATGGATATTGTGGTTGCAGCTGCTGATGTGTTGTCGAATTAGACGGTGGAGCCGAATACTAAAATCTTATCAGTTTAACAGGGTGCATTAATCTAAAGTAGGAGTATACAAATTCATATTTCTATATAGTAACTTCTGTGTAGTAAATGTTTTAAATGAATGCAAATTCTAGATGCTAAACAGAAACACGTATATTTCATCCATCTATTTATTTTTTTGATTTCTTCAACAGAAAAAAACAAAGAACTTACGCTGCTAATGCAATGCAGTTATGTAGTAACAATAGCTCCGCATAATGGTATTACTGTTTTATGCCAATACTGTGAAACTTACCCTTAATCGAGTGGTTGTTCCCGAAACAGCAGAAGGTATGGCTGGTCCAGGTGCTTGCAAGCAAAAAGGCGGCCGTCTCGCAGCATAATGCTGCTGCATTTCAGGAGGTAGAGTTCCGGAAACCCGTGGTACCATTGCAGCACCCATTTGGGCGTTTCCCATAGAGGATGAAGTAGGTATATTTGTATGTGGTCCTGAATACCTCTGAATTTGTTGGGAATTCCACATCTGCAAGAGTTTATACTGATTTATTTAGTCAGTATATAAGATTACTGAAGAGAAAGATATAGGAAACGAAAAAACGACCTGTTGTTGGTATATTTGAGTTGCTACGCCAGGATGCATTGCTTGGTAACCTTCCTGATAACTGTGAGAATATCCAGGTTGAGACTGTGGAAAAGTTTGATGATAACCACCAGTTTTCATTGATAGCGTTCCAGGAGGTCCAGCTCCTGGACGCAAGCCAGCTGCACCATACATCTGAGGTGTGTGAGGTTGTCCATAATATGCCACTGCAAAAAAAAAAATTTGAGAATGCAAAAAAACAAGTACCATCTCAATAGTAGTGGCAATCGAATTTACTGCTATCATTTCGCTAAAATGTCAATGTAGTTTTCGTTGCAGAAGCATTTTAAAATGCTAGCAAAGTCGCCATAAAAAGTTGAAGAGCTTGCCAAAATTCGCATAAATAAGCTAACCAGAAGGCTGCTGTTGCGAGGGTGCAGATGGAGGGATGCTACAAGAGCTCGTTGCATTTGGTACTTGTTGTGGATGACTTGGTGGTCGCAACGGTGTATTATCTTCAACCGAGTGTCTGCTACTACTATCTGGAGTTGTAGCCAATGGTGGACCTGTACTTGGTGCTCGACTTTGTGAACCTTGACCCTGTTGACTGTCAACCTGGATATGAAATAAGTACACTGTACGAGATAACTTATTCTGATGGTACCCAAGTACTTCAAATATGAATGAACCTCTATGAAGTTCAGCTACACATATATCAATAATATGGTGAAAAAAAAGATGAAAAAGCCCGTTCTACCACCGATTAAAATGACAAGTATAATTACCTGAACCCAGATGACAAGTTTATCAACATTGATGGAGTACTCTAGCACCAGTATGGATAACAGCAAGAAATGTCCTTGTCTTCTGGTAAGGCTTCTCAGAATGAGTAAAAATTCTGAACAGATAAAAATCCTGACTTGTAAGGTAGATGAAGGAGTCGTTGTACGCGGTAACTGGACAGCATATGCTGCTTGTTGTTGATGAAAATAATGCTGTCGTTGCTGTTCCTCGTACCTCTGTTGCTCATCTATTACTGGACCTTGCTGAAATACAATCATGTACAGCCTATTTCGCATTCAGAAAGGACTGACGCTTATGAAATACTATCACAAGCCTCTAAATCCTGTCACCAACTCCTGATTTTACACTACGGTACCTTTCCAGACTGCTGAATCTAATATGTAAGGAAAGCGAAAGAATTAGAAATTAAACTCTACCTGCAACATTTGAGGTGGCAAAGGCGGTCGCATTGGAGCACTAGGTCGCATCCCGGGATGATATATGGTGGCGCCTGGTGGACCGGTGACAGCAGGACCAGGTGGATAACCTTGAGGTTGCCAACCAACTGGACCTTGTAGCCGTCCTTGCATGTTCGGATCCACGTTGCCATAAAAGTATGCTGCATTCGGATCTCCCAGATGACCATATCCCGCTGGACCTGGCTGACCTGAATTGCTTTGGTCTTAAATACTGACAGAACACGAAGCAAAACAAAAAATATAGTGAAACCACATTTAAAGAAAGACCAGACAATATAAGCGATTACATAGGACCAACAAATCAAATATTCTCTCCGTATGCTAATGAAGCGTATGTTGCCCAAATACCGTTTTTCTCAACTGTGCTGAAAAACGAGGAACAGAAAAGATATTTGTTTAATTCAAAAAAAAAACGCCAAGATTTCAAGTGCGATGTACTGTACAGTAGTGTAACTCATTTGATTATGGCAGTAGAAAAAAAAAACTAAATCCTTCTTTTCAAACAAATCAGATTTCGCAAGTTCTTATTTCAAATATACGGACTCTCCGCTGATTAATTCGTGTAAAGTTAAAAAGGAATCATATTCAAGGCTAATAACAATTCGGAAGGAAGCTAGCGAGCCTTTTACTCCTCTGCTCCTTTCCTGATTAAACTGGCATATAGTTACAATTAGTGCAAAATTATAGGGGCTACATTAGATCGTTTATGTCTTAGGATCATAGCGATCCTATGTATTACATGATTAGAATCTACATTCGAACTGTTCTGAGTCACTATAATGTAGCAATGAGTCTACTCAGAAATAAAAAGCAGTGGCATAATGATGAAGACATAACTATTATAAAATGGGTAAGTAGTGATGACAATGGAATAATAAATTTAGAAGTGGCCAGAAAAAAGAATGATGTCAAAAAATGGTAAAATATCAATGAATGTAGTTAGATTAGGAAAAAAAAACTAAAGGGAACGACTCCATTATAAATGTTTTTGCTATTCACATAGGAGTTCAAACAAATAAGAAAAAATTCGTCATCTATTCCGCACTGGTATAGGATTCAAAAAACAGACTCAAAAATATATGAGCATTCTCTTATTTCATTAAAGATGTTTATCTATTAAATCCGAACTTTAGATCTTAACGGATATGTTGTGATAGCTACAAAGATTAAATAATGATGCACGAACTCATCAGTAAACAGTTTGAACCGAGACCTAAATTAACAACAGTTTAAATAGAAGTGGAGAAATAGATGACAGGTCTATTTCTGAAGACCGATGTATATCACATATCCGCTGTTCAGTTTCGCTACAAGTAACTCAAACAGAATACAGCCTTCAGAGAGAATATAACGTAACGGTTGGAATAGCATATATTGTAAATATAATTTACATCGTTATTTAGATAAGTTTAAGATATAACTGAGTGTACTTATCAACGAGTTTTAAAAATTCAGAAAAATATGCAATCTAGCTGAGCCGTGTCCTCTCACATGAGATTCATATAGGATCAATCGCCCTGAAAGGATGTTGCATGATCCAAACCAGATCTTTTGTCATTCGCAAGGTAACATAAGGCATAAACCTGCCGTAATCAATCGATTTAAGAGAATTATTTGACAAAGCCATACAAATCCAAAAAAAATCTCAGAACTATTTTCAAAACTCATTTCCAATAATTTAACCTATTTTCCCCATGTTATCAGATTCACTACAGATAAACAAAACTCTGCTAGCGAAAATTAGGGGTACTGACGTATTTACTTCAATTCAAGCGTTAGAAAGTGTGAGATAAATCCCTCCCAAACACTACAAATCTGAAGATTTCCAGCACTCAGTTGTGCTCAATAATTTTAAACAGAGAAATTCAGCTTATTCAGATATCATGATCTTGCTTGGTATCTCCACATAGGTATACTTTGCTGATAACTACAATTTTAGCTGCTATTCTCTAAATGTGGGAGTGGAACTTGCTGATTTCTGTGCTACTTCTGTAGTTGTACACAGTGTCGTTGTCGTTAATAGCAGTGCAACACATACTGCGAGTAGAAGTCACACTAACATCAATGATTGAGCTGTAAGGTATCATATCTAAGTATAGCACTGTTGCTTGATACCGCAGAAGGAAACGGGATTCTCCGAAGAGGAAGAATAAGGATTACGGAAAGTAGATGAAGCTGCCGTTGTCGGTAGTATTATAATGTAGGTATAGATGCTGTTGAAAGATTCCAGCGAAAACAACGGGAATCAAAGCATTAGTATTAAGTAACAGCCAAACTATGGTGAATAAGGAAGACTGACTTGCTTTTTGATGAGAAAATTGATGTGGAAAACATACAAGATGGTTCCCGGTGTACACAACAAAGTGATTTATTAAAACCTCAACTGGAGAGACTAAGATAATCGTAAAAGTTAAAAAACATCATATAATTTCGTCTTAATGTTATCAGCGCCTGCAAAAGAAAAGTTTTTATAACTAATAGAGGCATGAGTACAGCTATCTGCTCACAATGGATAACAAGTGGCACAAGTTATTAACAATAAAATGAATGTATATATTATTTACTATACTCCACTGCGGCGCAAATGAAAACAGTAGTGGTTATCAATCAATAGGGATAATGAATTTTAGAAAAGTGGGCACTGGAAAAAACTGATTTGTAAATTCGTAGTTGAGATACACTTTGTCGTCACAAATACATTTCACTCTGACTTCAGTGAAGATGACAGAATAGTAAAAAATAAATAAATGGCTGCTGTTGCACTACCTAGTAGGAATGTCGAAAAATGAGTGGTCTCGCAACATTCAAAACAGTTTCAATGATGGTAGAGGAGATCAAGAAATTAATTTCTTCTTCAAGCAGAAACCTGCTTTAGCAGAAAAAAGCACCATAAACATAACTACAATTCATTAGTTTAACTGCCTTGAAGAAAAATGCTTTAATTACTCGGAGTGGTTAGTAAATTTGCTCTTAACCATCTACAGTTGCTGTTTCCTTCTAAACTGTTCTATTCAAAAAGTAGTGGTTATAACCCTCAGATATTTTCGATTCAGTCCGAGGTGTGCCGACACTATCTAGTGAATACATTGAAGCAGGATGGATACAGAAACAATAGCCTGAGTGGCTTAGGGTACAACTCTATTACAACTCATGCAACTAGATGAGAACCAGAATCATTTCGTTTCATCTTTCCTGTTCCATGTTGCTACTGCTACCGATGTTTTTGCCAGTATCACTCCTCTTTCTTTCTTATTTTTTACTTATCAGCCTGCTTCAACTGCAGTTCAATCGTTCAGCTACTGGTTAGCGATAGTTTTTTCAAGGACAGACATGGGTATCTCCCGGGTTGTAATGAGAGAAAAACAGATAAAGATAATGATCAGAGTACAATTATAACTCACAGATTCAGTTGAATAAGAAAGGATACATGTTGTAGAAGCAAGTAGTAAACAGCAGGATCAAGTAGCAAAAATACCGATGCAACAAGCTCAAAGCCTGCTCGGGGAACTAGGAATTATTTCGTTCCTTTGGCTTCTTTAACATAACAGTTGCAGACGAATGAATGCGGAGCATGAATTAAAAAAAAGTGGAAGACCAATACTTTGTGAAAATGTTACTTTTTATAATTTTCATATACAGTATCCTGATGTTGACAAGAAAAAAACCTGACTGCTCTACTTAATTACTCTGAACTGTCTATCACCACTAGATAAAAAGACACCTCAATGAAAATAACTGTGAAGCAACAACACAGTATCGTAGAAAATATAATGTCGTAGTAACATTTCGACAAGGAGGATTAATATGTAATACCAACATTCAACATAACCTGTTCGCGCAGGTCCAATAGCAGCATAGTAGGACGGCGCCTAAACTCGCGAAATTACAGGCATTGATTCCTTTTGTAAAATTATGAACTATGTTGCGATGCATACTTATTTCCGCACTATCGATACTTTCTTTTCAGCACTTGAATATTCAATTACAAAAGTTTGAAAAGCTAAACAACTATTCTGTGAATACAAAATTTTCGATCAACATAGTTTTATCTTTGCAGTTTTCAACACTTCCTTTGCTGAATATTTCGGATCCTATTATCGATTAGGAAGATGCATGATAAATCAGGGATGTTCCACACATTCTTAAATCCCCTATGAAAATGATAAGGTTTACCAAACATTTCAAAAACAATTTTTCTGCCCATTAGTAGCAGCAGTAGTTAGGAATGCAGGAGGAAATCGACAGAAAGGAATGAAGTTGTCAGTTGGAATATACACAGATCTACATTGTGCTTCAAAGCGTAAGGGACTTTTTCGGGAAAAACTTATCGAAGAGAGTAGAGGGAAATAATGTAGTGCATTTTCCTTTGCTTTCTCTTCCCATTCCTCAGTGGATGGAGCATTTATTTATTTCTCTTTAAATATTTATATGCGTTATCGCTTTTCCCATCGCTTCCTTTTAATGAATGAAGTTCCTATGTTCTGAAAATGAAGAATGTTATCGATAGAAAGTTGATGCAGTTTCGGTCATAAACTTTAAATTATACTAGGCAGATTTTTCTTGACCAAATAAGAGACATTATAAGAATTTCACCCCGAAAAAGGAATCTGTCCTTTGGAATCCGATGAACTCTTGGAAACATTTCCTACACTAGCTGGTGAAGAAATCTGTGTAAAACTTATCAACATGATCAAAAAAGCGTAGTAGATTGGCGAGAAAAATGAATACGGCCGCGAAGCCAAATTCACAACCCATTTCGTCATCGCTGGTTTTAAATAGATTATTCTTTTTCGCACGGTACAGCTAAATCGAGAAATAGTTCGCTGTTGCTGTTTGGACTGAAGATATTTCAAAAAGGCCAATTTTTTTTGAATGTCAGTTCATGAAGCACCAATTGTCGAGCTTTTTCCACCTTTTCAGCTTGCAACAAATGTTATATAGTCATGGACAACCATATTCATAGTTACTCTCAATTGAGCAATATTAACCCGCGATGGCCGTTACTACTCTCTTTCTCAATCTTGAATCACCGCTTCATTGTAAGTAACCAGACTGTTTTCTAGATCATAGATGTTGTTAACATTGTTTTACCACCGCTGTTTAATGACCCATTCATTTTGAACCCGAAAAAGAGTTACTTTAACTCAGTTTTCTTTTGTCATGATTACCATGAGTATAAAATGAACAGCAAACAATAAGCCACTAGCAAAAAATCAGGTATTAATTACAGTTATATTTATGTAAGAATGTGTCCTAATACCAAATTAGGAAAAAATCGCTGTTATTTCCGCACCAGCTTGAAAACTAGTTAGCTTTAATGTATTTTTGCGCTCCCTTCCTTCTCTTTTCTCTTTTGCAAACCAGCGTTTACCTCACTGACCTGCCTCATCTTCTCAAATACTATTTTACACATCTCTGTACTAAGGTTTCATATTTTCGAATCATGGAACAATCCTCTATCTTTTTAATGAAATAAAAGAAAAAATGAAAACAAAGAACTAGAGGGAGAAACTGAGCACGTAGGGATCTACCTACGTTTACTCGCTGCAACTCAGTCTATCCGTATTCATATTTTTATTTGCAATCCAAGGAAAAAATTGGATGGCTAGACGATTCAATTCAGTAATTCAAACCGCCATCTTTCTTTTCCGTAATTCAGTTCTGTCCCTTAATGAAATAAAGGAAAAAAAAATAAAAATGCACTGAAAGTTGACTGACAACTGATAAAATGCTACCACATTAAAAGCAGTGGCCAACACAAACTCTCCAACTTATTCAAATTTTGCTATTGTTAGAGTAATCACCAGACACAAAGTAGGGCATGGTTCTTTTCAAATGCCCATAAACTTACGCATTCAAGTGAAAAGAAAAATGCGAAGTTTGATCTTCCGAACGACCATAATCTTAATCATCTATACTGGAAGTTTTTTATCAATTCACTAATTGATAAAAGTTTATATCAATTAGCAATTCACACTTAAATTAGGAGGAAGAACCGTGACTGGCAACATCACATAACTCTGTAGTTATGAGATGAGCAAAATACTAATTACGTCTCCTTCAACTTCCATTCCACACGAACTCACATCATATTGCATCCATCAAGAAATCACCGAGAAAAAGCAGAGATTTACCCTCGAAACAATTCAGCGCTGCATGTAAGTGGCGTCAATCAGTCCTTTGCAGTACAGTGAACTAAATTTCAACCGATTCTAATCAAAATATAAGTGTCAGCACTGACACCAGGATAAAACCTATTAACGGAACACAGCCATGTCCGACCGCGAAAGCCATTCTGATATTGATTCAACAGCAATTTTGCAACATGATAGCAGTGAATGGCTCAGAATTAAATAGCACGGAACTCTCCTACGCACATCATTATTCTAAATAAAGTTGGCGCGGCCAAATGAATGAGGGCGATAAAGGTGTATCAAACTGAAATGAAATACCCTATTTCAATGCAACAGAGCATGATTCTGCAGCTAATGAGTGGCAAGAAAATCAATGAACTCCGAGAATATACAACAACAGAAATTAAATTTGACGCAGAGACAGGACGTCGATGAACAGTAAAGGAGAGGATATGACATCAAAGACATCAAACGCTGATAGTGACAAATTTTTGAATCAAAATACAACATAGCATCAGCAGTGTCAGTCTATCTCATCAACATCAAACTCTCACTAAATTCAAAAGACTTAAAATTAAAGAATTACTTCCACAAAGGTTTACACATCACCAAAAAAAGTTGTAGGAAGGTTATCCATACCAATCTTTTCTTTCACCGGGCCTTTTTATCACAAATCAGAAAAAACTTTTACATTTTTACTTTCACAAAAACATCGTAAATTTGTTATGGGAATAATGGTTCCCTGAAACACATATGCTAATGGCAGCAAGCCAGAGCAAACAAAATCTCGATGACGTCACAAATATGAGTGCTGCAGATGAAATGAAAAAAAAAAACAGAACAATGAGAAGGGAAAGTATGGGGGAAAGTGCTATGCACAACTAACCTATGACTGGTACTACTTCTGATTGTCGGAAAATGCCAGGACGGAAAAAACGAGAAACGGAATCAAATTCTCCTTTCACGCATGTTCTCAGTAGTGCAAAGCAGGAAAAAGGAAACGATGCCTTTCGTGTTCTTCATATAAAAAGTACAGAAATATGATTCAAAAAGGGGCCAATTTATTTCACTTCATCAGATCGAAACAGGCAATCATCTCTAGCCAATTTAATCTTCCTCTCGTTTTCCACAAATGTTGAATCACCAAACTTACAAAAATACAGCTGATGGAAGTGAATCCATGTGTAGATACGCAAAAAATAAAGTTTTTAAGGTCAATAACGTTCACCTTTTGCAAAAACGTCGACTAAATAGCATGGGACTAGGATCTTGGACTTTTTAAGACGCAAAATAGCCATTAATTCTCTTGTTAAAATTCTTTTATACTAAAAAAAAAATGTGATCGCAATTAATCCCCACTGCATTTGACTCATCTGTTTCAACAAGGGCTACCGAACAGGAACCTCAGATTACAGCCTTCACAGAAGTTCAGAAATGCCAAATTTCCTCTATATCTTCCTTTAAATTTGTGAATAAAAATTGTCAACCTACCAATTTTTCATTATTTAATACCACTGAAGAAATTATTTTTCCACAAATATCAAGTAATGAGTAGTTAATCCGTGATGCAGAATTTGGGGACCAGGACACCTATTTCCCTAGCTTAAGACCTAATCTCATAAGATTTAAAAGATGTTCCTAAATTAATAACAGCTGCAAGGACTATTAGAAATCTATTCCATATGGATGTTACAGAAACTTCGTCTGAAATTGTCCAATTAGTAAAGCCACTAAACTTGCCATAATCGTCAACTTCAGTACACCTTTCTTCACTGCGTGCTAAAACTAATTTAAGCATACCAGGTCCTGGATATTGTTGCGTATTATGGTCCTTGTTGTCTTTTCGGCGTTTTTTCAACCGTTCTGCAAATGCAACCACTTCACTAGCATTCTTGCCGGTCTTCCAAACATTCCAGTCCTAGCAAATATTTCTGGTAATGTCGCCTTAACTGGTAACCAGCTGCAGACGACTCGGACATCTCCGAATTCGCTTCTGTACAAACTTGTTTCCATGTCTTCTCTCGTGTTACCTATAAAAATATTTGAAAATCTAAATTCAAATGCCGAAAAACCCAGTAGAACTTTCCTTTAACATATTCACTAACAAATCTACAGGAAGAATACTGTAAAGAAGCTATGCACGCAGGATATATAGGTCAAGAATTAGTAAATGACAAAATCGTGGAGCTTGATAGTATTATTATGCCAGTTACCTGTTCAAAACCACCACGTTTCATTACAGCTAAATAAAGACGATGCAAATCAACCGTTTGCTTTGAAACTTGTGGAACTTGCGTGATCGGTTCGCCCTAAAAATAAGGAAGTAGAATCAGTAACAACGACTTCTCAAAGGCATGTTTTTTTCGATCAATTTTAGAACAGAATTAATTCACAGAATATTTACAGTTCAATAACGTTTTGGAGGACTGAATAACGACAATCTGTCTTCCTTTACAACTTTCTTATCGAGTAAATGAATTTGTACCTGTTGTTCACAGAACTGGACCAATTTTTCAAAAAAAGCTCTCCTCTCAGGCATTATGTGTTGTGGGTTCATTGCAGTTACAGGTCCCACCTGGAATAAAACTAAGAAATTTTCTGAAACCAACAAAAAGAAATTTGTCGCTTTGAAATTCTGCGACAGTTTCTCCATAATCCATCCCTTGGTTTAGTTGTTCGACATCGTTCGCTAATTGAGTCCCAATGATCCAAATTAAATGTAAGAGATAGGACAAAAATTAACTCATTCGGCTCAAAGAAACAAACTCACTAATCTATCAACTATTGACGTTGGATCTTGCCGTTTGTTCACTGTGGGTGTAATTGGTCGATTTGCGGGCACCGGGGTTCTCTGAAAGCAAAAAGTGTAATCGTAAAGCAAAGTATGCTCAAATTAAATCTTTCAAGATCCCAAAACAGACTTACATGTCCTTGACTCATCTGTGACGGCGTATGAGGCCATGGATTTGGTGAAGCACCGGGCAATGATTTGGAATCTTCTAACGATTCGTCGGCAGCTGAAGACGTACCACCTGGACTCGGTGCTGGCATTCCAGAAGACGGAGTCACCGACTGCTGGCCAGAAGTAGTTTGTTGTACTGCTTCCTGTAATGCAAAAATTATAAAATGCAATCTAAATTCAATAGTGTTATTTTGTCTAATGCATAATGATTTAGGAGATTCACCTAATTTTTAACCACACCGCTGACACACGGATAATTGGTGTTATGCTAAAAACCCGGTGTTATGTGAACAGAGAAAAATGTGCAATGATCACAACATGCAAATAAATGTAAAATTTCTCGTGTGAATATAACGAGGCAAAATAGAATTTACCGGAAGAGATTTCGAAGCATTTATTCTGGATTGCCAGTCAGACGGTACGGGCCCATTAGGCATACGTGGCATTTCCATTTGAGGCGACTGCTGAATTTTGGCTGAATTTGTTGGCATCATTTGGCGTGCTCCTGGTGGCATACCATATCCAGAGAAGGCTGAAAAGTATTCAATAATATAAACTGTTACATCTCAATCAGTAATTGAAGCTAAAGGTAAGAGATTTCGCATAAAATTATAAACCAAAATTACCTGATGGTGGCATGGGACCTTGATTCTGCACTGGATAGTAATGGCCGGGATGAACATTTCCTGGTTGCATATAGCGCATCTGTTGTGGCGGCCAATAAGAGGGGTACATACCACCCGAATAAGCTGTAGGCAATGAAAAACTTTGATTCTCCTGTATTCTTGAATGTAGCGAAAACGAACTACCTGTTATTGATTTCGAATTCAACTCCAAAAAAACATAAAAACTAACCGGAAGGTGGCATACTCTGTTGATTAGGCACCTGCTGTTGCATTTGTTGAGGTCCTGAAATCAGAAAACTACCAAGATGAATTTTACAGATAGCAAGGTGTTCGGTCACAAATGACATCATCAGCGAACAGATTTTCTAGCTTAAGACAATGTTTCATTTCAAAAGGCCAAATATTTTCCACAGAGGTCGCGTTAACAGTAATATTGAGCTGCAAAGAAGACGGCCAATAAAATAATGATTCCGTCACACGTTCTTTAATTTGCTCTGAAATACAGTGTCCCAGCGAATCTAAAATTAATGAGCACAGATAGCTTGGACAAAATAGAGAGTTACCCAGTGCTGAACTAGATGAAGGTACTTCCATTCGGACAGGGCCGGGTAAAGCAGTACCAACTGCCGAATTTTGAATGTGTAGCGGCATTTGTGGTGGTGGTCCACCTTGACCAGCAGCCGGTGAAAACACAACATCTCGCGAATCCGGTCTTCCGGCCACCTTTCCTTTTACACCACCCTTTTGAATACCGACCGATCCCGGATTACTGTAGCTACCATTTGCAAGTGGTGACGGCTGCTGCAAAAGGTTTGAAATTGATTCTTCATTTCTTGACTCCTTTAAAATGGTTGCCCGAACTAAACCTAAACCCAAAAAAAACCCGAACTTCACAAGAGGTTTTTTGAATGACACGACTGCACAGCCGCATTCACGGAAGATGAAGGTTAGCTAGGCAACCAACTTTATGGACAACAATATTCCCAATCACTCCAAATTTCTTAATGCTTGCTTATTGTATGAGCTGTTTTCAATGCAAAAAGAAAAAAAACTAGGTTTAAACTTCATCAAAATTTTCCCAAACATCTCAATACATTGAAGACATTAACAGAAGTCTATTCGCGTGTTAGAAATTCTCTTCCTCCTTGTAAGTAAGTCCTTGTAAGGTAAAATTTCTTAAATTTGAGACAAAGAAAAAAGTCCTGCTAATCGATCTTTAACACACGTGCTGAAATGAGTCTCATACTCATCAAGTAACCGCGCTTTCTAACCCAACACTGATGAACATCGAGTAGAGGAAAAACAATTAGCGAAGAAAAAAATCTGCCACCGAACTCCTTCACTCTTCCCGTCTCTTCAATAAGTGTTCTATATTGAAAATGAATGTTTGATGGCGATGTCATTAGGTTTTCGTTTCGGCAATATTTAAGCCACCAGTCTTAGGGTGTGCAATTATTTATGAACATATACTCTCTTCGTACCCCTTCCTTGTGGCTTCTTATTCATCTCCCCAGCCTACAACCATATGATGATCGTCATATCATACATACAAATTATCCGTCTCCCTTAGAAAATCAACCATCCAAAATCATCCCCTATCCCTACCCCGCATCATATACACTTTATATGACCACGTGTTTCCGACTTTGAACCTTCTCATTCTTTTTTTTCTTTTAAACTAAACAATCAAACAAAAGTGCATGGGAATTCCCCAACAAGCAATAAATTCCTCGTTTCCAAAATGAAGCGGCAGCTAGAAATTATTCCACACCATGCTACCTCGAGTGCACAACTTTGTACTGTCCTATAGTTTACGTCTATCTGTGCTGTTTTCAATGTACTGGTTACACGTGTTACGCATCTCTTTATGTGAGATACGTATGAGTGAAAATTACAACCGAAATATATCAAAATAACGGGCAACTGAAAGTAATAATAAATACTACCGCTTTCTCCGCTCCATTGCATTCCATTAACAAAAACTATCTCAAAAAATTCAATCTTTTCAAATGTGATATTCAAATCCTGATATTCAAAATTCAATCCTTTAAAATATAACTGCATTTAACCCTGACCATACATCAACAGTGGCTTTTTGTTGTAACAAAATTTATTTTGAGCATACGAGTCCATTATGAAGATCAGGATCAGGCAGAGGATCCCCGACTGCTCTTAATTTCCACATAACCGATGGGCCAAGTACAATATTTTATAGAAATCATTCCACATATTGAGAAATCATTCCACATATTGAGGAATTCATTTCCGATACGCATTTCAAAGAAAAATTCATTTTTGGATTGTTGGGAACCAGACGCAGATCTCAGAAGCTCCAGCTCCGTCATTCTATCAAATCAAACAATATATGAAGACTACAGATAGTGTAACTTTTAACAATAAATTCCATTGCTCGTAACGAATAGACAGCATTTCAAACCTTCAAGTCATTAACAATTGTTTCGTCTTTTCCAATGCAAAGACAACAAAACAACACGTCAAGGGACCACCGATGTTAATCAAGGGATTAATAAACCATCCGTCTGTCATTAGTTCTCCACAGCACCCTCTCTTTCCCAACACGCCCCACGAAGCACAATATTGCGACAAATGCCCCTCCATACGTATTATACCTATCGCCAAGTGGGATCACTTCCCTAGTTTCGAAAAAAAAACGGAAAATTCTGTCCGTCCATGGTAAGTTGCGCGGCATACAATCCTGAAACGACGACCAAAGCGCAATCGATGGTCGTTGACCTCTTCACGGTAATCTCCTCACATACTTTAACCGTAACATTGTCCTATCTGTTACCACCATAAAGTAACATTTCACATAATTACCATTTCTCAATTACAGTGTTCTTAAAATCATGTCACCAAGTCACACTCCACAGTTCTTGAATACTTTACAGTGAAAAAGCTGCATATTCGTACGCCAAAACGAGGCTTGAGTGAAGTGGATCGCCAGTGCGAGCTCAGTTAATACGCCAGAAAAACGAGGCAGTACGAAACATTGGTGGCTGGCCAACTACTTGTATAAGAAATACTGGTAAATGATTAAGCATTTAGACTTCTCTTGGCGCTTCATGAATAACATAAATCACGTCAGCATGGTCATTATCCGACAGATACCAGTGTACTTTACTATGTGTGAGCGTGCAGTAATCACCAATGCTGTTGATGTTATGAATTCACAATGATTCTGCAAGAGTTATTACGATCATCAGTGAGCATACAGTATGGTATACCACTGTTGCTATCTATCGTGATGATCCCAATAAAGAGCCAAGTGTAATGTGCTTCCTCTCCTCCTGTTCGTACATTTCAATGACATAGCCACACACAATTTATTCGATTCGGTCCCCTCCTTCATATCGCGTCCCTTGCTCATGTATGTCTCAGCGAATGGTGAGTGATGGCGTGTCGATACTGAGATGGATGTGTGTGTGTGTGTATGTGTATGTATGTATGTTGAAGAAGGAGGAGGCGAGGGCATGTACACGAGGACGTGGTTGAGTGCAATGGATGAAGCGATGCAAGGGCCATATTCACGATAGATGCCCCCCAAGGAATGGGTGCTTGCGGAACGAATGGATTGCCGCTGCTGCTGCTTGTTAACTGCAGGACGATAATCAGTGAATCGAAGAAAATGTACCGGGGGGCCCATCTATCTTGCGTTTCAATAGAAAAGGGCCGGGTGTGGAAGAAACTTCTTTCTTCTCTTCTCCTGCACTGTATCGCTCGAATGCCACTGAATCAGTGGAAGACCTTTATTCTATACACTTGCCAGTACCCGGAAATAGTATACTAAAGTTGAATGAATGTAAAGAGGAATGATTTAGACGAAAGAGTATAAAATTAGACGAGAGCAGACATATATCATCATCCTTTTTACAGACGTCCCCTTGGAAATAACGTTTTTATGGTGAAACAGAGAGACGGCAATGGCCTCACCTCAATGGTTCCCTCTCTCATTCGATGACGACGGTGACGGTACCCTAAACTCTATCCCAACAATTCTTTCCCCCCCTCTCTCTCTCTCCATCTTTGCACATCTATCTACAGGAAGGGTATTATTCGAATCTTTCCTTTAAATAAGAAATTTCAACATTAAACTTCCCCCTCCTCCAGCCACATCAGTGTATAGGCGAGAGCAGTTCCTAGCAAAAAAAGAATTGCCGCTGGGAAAATGCATAAAAATTCGAAAGGGTACACAGCTAACAAAGGAAAAAATGTACTTTTGCTTATAAACAAGTGGAGAGAGAGCGAGGAAAATATGATTTTGGGAGGACGAATTTTAGGCTTGTCTTTCTCTGTTAAAAGATTAAAATGCTTAGGGCTGAGCTGCTTCCTCCTCTCCCCCACTTTCCTGCTACCGTAACCCGTCAATTTCAGAAATTCAGTTCCCAGCTGCGACTGACGTATGAAACATCAATCAAAATAGAATAAAGGAGAAAAGCAATTAAGGCTAATTTTTGTTCCTTACAAGAGGAACTTTTAGTCGGTTACCAAGATAGTACAGTGAACCATCATTTCATATCCAGTTTACAATTCCTGCCCCTCTCCACCACCCCTCTCACCTTAACAAAATTATGTCTGTAAGAACTCGGACTCGCGATACTACCACCTCTCCCGAATGTCCCTGTAAATATTCCTTCGGCCTGTTTAGTAACTTACAGCGGAGGTAATCAGCCTTCCACATCTGATGTACACGTCTTATCTACTATAATTTCTCAAAAGCATCTATACCACGCCAAATCTAATGTATTTATCGCCTATGTCCAGCAAACCCCATTACTCCATTACGAGTACAGTGCCGAAATTCGGATGTGTTAACTACTTCCCTTCTACTATGCTTCAACGACTATTATATACATATATATATATATATATATATATATATATATATATATATATATATATATATATATATATATATATATATATATATAT